TATTTATAATTTTAAAGTAAGTATCTAGTTATTAACAATATTTAAAATAACTATAATTATTAATTATAATCACTAATTATATATTTATTAAATTACTGCAATAATCAGTAATTAATTCCTATAATAATCAGTAGATTCCATTAATTATTGTAATTACTGAAATAATCAGTAATTATATAATAACAGTAATTAATAGAAAATGGATGCTTTCACGTGGGGATCTACTCACACAAATAGATTCCATTTGCTACACGGAGAGAGCATCCGTTTTCTATTAATATATATACTAGCGGAGGGGCCCTACTTCGCAGGGGATGGGATGAAACAGTCGACCTGTTGAACTAGCCCCTAGCCAAAAATCATTGAATCGGTCAATGACCCATTGACTCGAGTAGTTAAACCATCGACCCGTTGACCCGTTTAATGGTTTTTGGCCGTTTTCTTTTATTTTTTTAATCAGAAACCATCCAGGCAATCAATTCCGTTTTATCCTAATCTTGGTCCCTAGCCAAAAATCGTTAAATCGGTCAATGACCCATTGACCCAGAAGGTCAAATCATTAACCCATTTATTGATTTTTGGTTATTTTTTTTTATTTTTATTGTCAGAACGGGCCATCCGTGCAAAATGAATAATCGAACCGTTAACCCAAAAACTGGTGGCCAGAACGGTTTCGTTTTCAGGTCGTATGAGTCACACGCTCAAATGACACAACATGTATGGTACTACTTAATGGACCTCTCACACAATTTTTTGCCTATAATTTTTGTTGTTAGAATGGGTTATCTGTTTTTTATTTTTTTAATTAAGAACCATCCAGGCATCAAATTCCGTTTTACCCTAATCCCAGTCCCTAGCCAAAAACCGTTGAATCAATCAACGACCCATTGACCCAAGTGGTCAAACTGTCAACCCGTTGACTCGTTCAATGGTTTTTGGCTGTTTTTTTTTTTTATAAATTTTTGTCGACTTGAAAATTGGTGACTAGAACGGTTCTAGTTTCGGGTCATGTGAGCTCCGAGAAGCTCCTAGCCAACTCAAAGAGTTGGAGTCACCACCCATTTTTTAGAGGAAATGGGCCCCATTTTGAGTTTGAAAACTCGATTTAGGTCTTTGATAGTGACTCCGTTTTCCACGGGAAAGGCACACAACCAAGAAATTTCAGGTTCTAAGAATTGGGAGAGGGAAGGTATTAGGCACCCCTCTCTCCAAGCTGTTGTAGAAGCCCAAAGAGGGAGTTATTCAAGCTCTGATTCCGACAAAACATTAATTAACGGGATTGCTCAAAACTCCTAAAACCTAGCAAAAACGTTCCCAACTTTGCCCAGAATTGATTTAAGATGATGTTATCAGATCCCAAGTACTGGTTTTCCTACTTCTTTTTCTCAATCTGGAGGAAGTTGAGAATGCAAGTTTCCTAGAATTTAAGGATTTTAAGCAATTTGAAACTAAGCTAAAGCAGAGAGATGGCGGGTGAGAGGCTTACCTCTCATGTACAACCTTGAAACCAACTTTCCAACAACTAAAAGGACTTCAAATGGAACTTGAGCAAGGCAAGGGCTGGTCTGAACGCTTTTGGTGTTAAGTTTGGAAAGCAAGGAATGAGGCTTGAGCTTGACTTTAGGGATTTCGGGATTTTAAGTAGAATGGGGGGGTTATAGAAGTTGGAAAACTGCCATCTTCCCCTCTCTTCTCTTTTTTTGGGGCCTCTCTTAGGTTTCCTTTCCTCCCTCTCCTCCTCAGGTTGCCTCTCTCTTCAAGCTCGAGCTGGGCCTCTATTTATAGAGAAAATGGAGGGAGATGAGTTTGAAATTCGCCCAACTACAATGCCTAGGATTCAACAGATGTTTTTCACAAAAATAGGTAGAGATTTTTCAAAGAAATAGATGCCCAGTCAAGCTTTCCTGTTTGGTGAAACATTTTCTTTGATTTGGGGGTGGTTTTCATGGGTTTTGTGTGTCCAATCGAAGCTTGGGGCGTGCCAAACGTTGCAGTCTCGTATTTGGGGCTGTTAGTGGCAGAAAATGTAAATTTGATGAGCTTTTAAATGGGTCAAGAATGGGTCTGACATCAGCCATCACCCTTTTAAGGCTTCGGGTTGGGCCAGATGACATGGTAATTTAATCTGGTACGTCAAAATGGTACATTTATAGTTTAACGGTCAAATGGGTGAATTTGGATGTGAAATTTGGCATGCTGGGGTTTCTTGGGTTTCTGAACATAGTGGTGATGTTTGATTGGTCAAATAGGGTAGGGATGATTAAAATCTATGGCTGACAAGTTAGAATCAACGAGATTTACTGAAACATAATCTTTGTTTGATGAAGGGTCAAACATGGGAATTTTGGGATGAAATTTGGTGGGTTAGCACTTTTGATTATCTTGAATCTAATGGAAGTGATGGATCTTTGATCAGAGGTGTAGATTGATTGATTTAGTTCAGATCATAGTCTTAGCTTATGGCTCTCCAATCAACGAGAGGGTTCGAAATGGAATCTTACTTTTTCAATGGTCAAACGGAGGTGTTTTGCCGTGAGATTTGACATGCTAGGCTTTTTTTGGGTCTCCGAACACAGTGGTATGGTCTGATTTGTCATGTGAAGTTGGGATGATGGATGATAAGATCTATTTAATGAGATTTGTTGGAATAGGATGTAAGCTTGATGGGGAGTTAAACGGGGGTATTTTGAGCTACAATTTGGTAGGTAGGCATGGATTTGGGTGAGGAGTCAAGTGGATGGTTTTGGCCTGAGAAATATATGGTCGATCTTGGTAATCGTTCAGGGTCATCTGAATGGGATCTTGATGTTTTTGCGGTTGGTTGTTGAAGATTCGTGGTGGGATTCACTAGTTGATTATTTCCTAATGATCTTGGGATGATGGACATGTTGGATTTGATTTTGGAGGAGTTGGAATTTAGATATCACATAGATCAAGGCCGTTAGAATGGAAGTTGGTGTGATGAACGGTGGATGTTTAGAGTTTAGTCATAAAAATTAATGTGTAACTAAGCTAGAGTTTTTCAAGTCTAGGGGTGATGTCTGATCAAGGTTCTTGTTTATCCTATGGACTGTGTCAAATGAGGTTTTTTTTTTTTTCAGGTTTGGAAAGTCTTAAGTTGATCTGGTTGTGTTTCAAGTTTTTGGAGTGCAAAAGAGGAATATAAAAAGGTAGGGTGAAGGAACCGAGCAAAAATTGGGTGCTAACAAGTCGTATAAGTCACACGCTCGAATGACATAACATGTATGATACTGCTTAATGGACCTCACACTCAACTTTTTGCCTATAATTTTTTTTGTCAGAATGGGTCATTCATTCGAATTGGATGATTGAACCGTCGACCTGAAAACCAATGGCCAGAATGGTTTTGTAATTTTTTACTTGTAATTTTTTGTTGTCAGAATGGGTCGTCCGTTCAAACCGAATGGTCAAACCGTCGATCCAAAAACCGGTGGCCAGAACGGTTCCGTTTTCGGGTCGTACAAGTCACACACTCGAATGACATAACATATATGATACTACTTAATTGACCTCACAAACTCAATTTTTTGCCTATAATTTTTGTTGTCAGAACGGATTGTCCGTTCAAACCGGATGATCAAACTGTCGGTTGTTAGAGTGTTATTAACAACATTTATCAATAATAGTAAGTAATTATACTATTTATTAAATAATCATTAATGATAGTTTTAATAATATTATTTAGTTATTTTAATATAACAATAATTACTAAATTTATTAACATTATTTATTAATAATAGCATTTATAATTTTAATTTAAAGTAAAATTAAAGTAAATATCTATTTATTAACAACATTTATAATAACAATAATTATTAATTATAATCACTAATTATATATTTATTAAATTACTGTAATAATCAGTAATTATTAAAACTGGGTTACTAAATTCATTAACCGTATTTTTAATAACAATATTTATAATTTTAATTTAAAGTAAAATTAAAATATATATCTAATTATTAACAATATTTATAATAACAATAATTATAAATTATAATCACTAATTTTATATTTATTAAATTACTATAATAATCGGTAATTATTAAATTATAGTAATTAATTAATGTAATAATCAGTAATTACTATTTTCTTAAGTTATAGTAATTATTAAATTACAATAGTTAATTAATGTAATAATCAATAATTACTGTAATAATCAGTAATTATTAATAGGAAATGGGTACTCGCACGTGGGATCTACTTGCACGAGTAGATTCCATTTCCTGGATGCAGAGATCATCCATTTCGTAATAAGTATATACTAGCAGAGGGGGCCCTACGTTGCAGGGACTTGGAGAAATTAAATTATTGTATAGAAAAAAAGAAGTTGAGAAGGTATTTTTTAGTGAAAGTATCATAGAAAAAAAATACTTAAAATAAATTAAAATTTATATTTTATAATAGTGGTTGCAGAAACAAGTTTTTAATTATTTTTTGGGTAAATTATTTATGAAATTAAGGTAGAAAGAGAGAGTAGGATATAAAAAAATAAGTGTATTTCTGGAAATTAAGGTAAGTTATTTTTTTTTTTGAAAATTAAGGTAGAGAGAGTAGATTATAAAAGGGATAAGTAGATTTGGCATCAATCCATGGTTAGGATTCATTCCACCTATACGATAGGAATCTGATTACCGATTTCCTATAAACTTTCCAGCCTAGATGGGGATTAAGAACAAAACATACCCATGTGAGAATAGTGGCATTGAGTTGGTGCCATCTTTTCCACAAGCATTCTTCCCATTAGGAGCTCCATAAGTACAACTCCAAAAGCATAGACATCTCTTCATACTAATTATTAGTTAATGACCAAACTGTAGTATAGAGTAACTATACCTATGAATTTTGTTGGGACCCACCATTTCAAAGCCATTAACTTAACAATTAACTGTTAACTGTCAAAGTGCTATGAGTTAGGCAATACTTTGAGCACAATATAGAAATAAAATTACTGCCTACAATAGCACAAAAGAACAATCTTTAAAGAATTATATGATCTTAACATTCAATGCTAACAGAATACAAGTTACCGACGAATACAATAAAAGAGCCATCATATTCAGATTAAAGACAGGAAGCTTTAAAATCTCATGGAAAAAAAGCAATAAAGAGGAGAAAAAATGAAAGAACTTTGATTAGATCTACCGGTGCATTTGAAAGGGGACAAAAAATATATAACAGAAAACATAACAAAGAAAGAAAACAACAGAACAAAATGAAAAATAATTGACCTTCGAAGTACATGTAGACACCGTCCTTTCAGCACCATGGCTTCTATTGTCGAACAATGACAGCAGGCATGGCCTTTTTTCTTGAGATCAGGCTTCCCTTTCTTCATGGTGGCCATCACCATGTCACCAACACAGGCCAACGGAAATCTGTTGAGACAACCCATGATCCCTTTCACAGAGATGATGTATAGGTTCTTCACACCTGTGTTGTCGGCGTAGTTCACCGTCCCACCGAAGAATAGGCGCTACCATGGATTCCTTGTACCAAGTGGTACGGTGTTGGATCTAGAAATCAAAGCTCAATTTCCAAAACCACCACCTCCCCATCCCCTTGAGTGGAAGTTCCCCCGTGAACCTGAACCTGTCAAAACACAGGAATAAATTATACATGAAAATCATTTCAAGTCAACTGAATACCCACCCATCTCTTAAACATGTAATAGAGAAAATGGTTAGAAACATACCTCCACCATGTGAACCACTTGACCAGGCCATTGCAACCAATGCTGGACTAACAGCTTGTCAACCATCTTGTAGGATCTTAATAAGATCTCTGGCAAACTTTGCATTTGCATGAGTAAGTTCGCCCCGATCCTATGAACATAATCTTCAAGGCTTGACAGGAAATCGTAATTGATCACACATTTTATATCTTTTACATCTGCAGGGATTAGAGATAATGTTAGTTCACAAAGAGCAACATATACCTTCTGAAGCAAATTTCCAAAAAAAGGACAAAATTGCTACTGCCCCCTTATCCCTGCACCCCCTAGCTCCAGATCATATATGAGATTACACATTCAACAAGTAAATGTACCCACCTTTGACCTGCAGGGGTAAGGACCAGAACCACCATCTAGTTCCATTGAAGGAATAAGCTTGTCTGAGTCGACTAGGCTGCCACAACAACCAACTACATGACCATGGATAGGTGGTGATAACTTCCAACCATGTTCCTTAGACACTTTAATTGCAAGTGCAATGCCTTTATTGAACTTTGGACATGTCCAATAAATATGGATATGGATGAAAGATTTTCAATGTTTCCCTTGGACATGCATAAATAGATATGTATTTTGACATCCCCATGAATGAGATACATGCATGTGAAACTTGTACTTCCCAAAAATCTATAAACCATAATAGTCATATCAGTGAGCCTTGGCTTTGTGTCCATGTAACATGAGCTGAAACTATTAGGTACCCAAGCAGAGGCATTTTTATGGGACATTAATCAGAACTCTCTGAATCCGATAGGTAAAAATCCCTTGGTGAAGCCAACTATGATGCTTCTACATGGAAATTGTAAGAACATCTTTGCAATCTTATAGAATGGTTGTACCTCCTCAACCCTAGCCAAACCACGAATTATTCTTGGGAAGCTGGACAGTAGCCTGCCAACCCGCCAAAGTGGTGAAACCACGAATTATTCAAGGTGGTGAAACCCTGAGGTACCAAAGGATATTTCTAGTGTTATTCTGATTGTCCAAAAGAATGTGGTGTACTAGTATAAGTTGACATAAATATCACTTATGATAGGTCTACAACCTGAAGCAAAGTAACCAAGCCCCATCATTTACAGCAAGCATAAATCCATAGATTTGGTATAGTATCCCTTAAAAGTCCACTAGATAAATTCAGAGGAAAAGAAAGAATGGAAGAAAAGTTTTACACAAAAGTTTATAGCTACCAGAATATGACATTATAAAGTTCAACAGGATTCACAAAAGACATTAAATGAATAGATCAGAGAGCAACAGAAATCAACATGTAATAAATAAGCTCAATTGGCATACCATCTAAAAGGTATTCCAGGGCTACATAACCCAAAGTGCCAGAAAGCTTAATGTTGTTCTTGTTTTGGGCCCCAACAGTTACAACAAGACCAAAATCAAAGAGCTGAATCAAGACAAAATGTCAAAATATGTATGAAATAAGGAATTAAAGAGTTATACAAGAGATCAATAATGAAAAATTGTAAATCAACAATATATAACATATTATTGATTATAAAGAGTCTCAATAAGAGACCAAATGGTCTCAATTTTAACAATAAAACATTATTGGTGAAAAAATAGGACAATCTCCCTGATTCAAAGTTGTTTTTTTTTTTTTTTACCTTTGCATTAAAGTTGGATTCCAAAAGAATATTTGATGACTTAAGATCTCTATGGATCACTGGAGGATTACAGTGTTCATGTAGATATTCTAAGCCTCTACTTTACAAAATTGAAGTCAATGGATGACAGAAAATTAGAATGGATTACATGAAACTACAGAATCAGGTAAATGAGAAGAACTTTAAAAATAAAAAATAAAAAATGAGTGTTGCTTAACAAACTGATAAACTCACCTTGCTGCCTCCAGGGCAAGGTGACAGAAATTTAAACTATTACTCTTTCACTATCTTTTAACATCCTTTCCATTGGCCTTGGATAAGAAATAAAGTGATACCATGCAATTGTGTTTCAAGAGATCCTTTCTGCATCAATTCATAAACAAGAAATCATGTTTCTTTGTGAATGCAATGGCCCATAAGAGAAATTATATTCAAATGCCAGATGATTACTTTCATTTTGCAACAATGCAACATTGCGTTGCAGAGCAATACAACATTGGTAACATACTAAATACACTGCAACACCATTGTCACTATAGAAACAAAAAAAGTTAAAAAAGAAAAAGAAAAATATTTACTTGCCTCCTTGTTTGTGCTGAAGGAAACAGAAAGCCCCAAATCATTCATTTGTCTGATGAGTTCCATATCCTCTGACGGAGTGTAATCTGAGCAGATCACAAAGACAACAGAACCACTAAAGTGTAACTAATTGATCTATGGCATTGATCATTAACAAATTCTTCGCAATGGTGAAAAGTAAGACCCGAAAAACAAATCATGTGGTCTCAGTACATGATTTATTAGCAAAAAGTGTGACGCAAGAAAAAAATAAATAAATGAGGTGAAGGAGAATTCAACAAAGAACACTTGCCATTAACAGTAGATTCAACCTTCGAAATACAAGCAACTTGGCAAGACGAAAACTGCATGTAAGAATAAGGGTTTCAAAGGGTCTAAAAATAAGCGCATGCATACATCAATCACTATAGCTACTAAATCATAAGGAAACCCAAAAATAGTATCATAACTCATAAGAGAACAACAGATCCATTCAGAAACAAACTAAACTAAATTAAACTTACAGTAGTTTCTGCCAAATTACCTTGACGAACAAATGAAGTGGACACCTCTGTTTCGTATACAAGAGCGTCATCGGTCCTGTTAAATAAGAGAAATTTTAACAGCAAAACCGGGAATGAGAAAGTAGAGACATGAAACTCTAGAACTTGAGGGGAAGGTGGACAAAGCGAGTCTTTTGGAAACAACTTACTGCTCGAACTCTAAACCACACAAAATCTAGCTAGAAAAATATGCTTTTTGCCTAAATCTGGAACTACATAAACAAAAAGCAAAAGAACAAATAGACCATAGACGAACAAAAAACACTATACCACAAAAAGACTTCAGTGAGCTTGAAGAGAGAACCCAAGGCTCTGATGGCAGGCGCCTCGGCTTCCATGAATCCTCAAGTTTTCAAACTAGAAGATGGATAGTATTCGGCTCCCTAAAAATGAGTGGAGAAGGCCAAACCGTTGCACCGCCGCTGCTTGTCCCTGTTGCTTCAAGAACTCAATAGCTCAAGAGGGACAAGCAATTTGTGAAGCCTTTGGGAAGGCCTCCTTCGTTCTCCCTTCGCAACGACAAGGAAAATCGAAAAGCCAAGGAGTTCTCTCGAAGAGGGAGACTCGAATGGAACTTGGAAGAAGAATCTCGAACAATCTCGAACAGAAGAAATGAGAAAGAAGTTGAGACACGCATCTACCATGCAATGGATATACATGCGAAACATTTGCACGTGAAACTCCTAATCTACTCGCACGAATAAATTCCATTGCAGAAAAATCACCCATTATATATATAGATATAAGATGACAAATCTACAAACATATATAGATACATACATACAATACCAACACGTAAAATGAAAAATCCGTAAACAAATTCAGCCAATTTAGACTCTCTCCCATGATATTTTATCTGGACTATAAATTAAGAGATCAGATTTCCTGCGACCCTCGTTGCAGTATATACTCGAGATCCCGAGTGGTTATTAAAGTGAAAAAGACAAAATATTACATCAACCTGACAATCTCGTGTTTGATTAAAACACTAGCGTGTTCAACTGTACATTATTTATCAGGGACATCAAATTAATCCCAGGACATCCGATAGTACATCTCTACTATGCATTGGAAGATGATGACATCATTATTTTCAATATTATTATTGGAAGACGTTTCTAATATACAACGGGAATGTACTGTAAGACATTGTAGAGGACAATTTTGTAGGGGTTGATTTGAACTCTTCACCGGGGTCTCGGGTTTGTCCTGTGACGAGAGTCGCAGGAAATGTGATTTCATAAAATAAAGTCATCTGAAGCGGAATAAAATAGGGAAAAACGTCATGATGACATGAGGTTCAAAGTATTAATATACATATTGTTCAATATATATCATATTGGAAGTTTTTCGATACGTCCCTACGGAAGATGTATCGGGGTTTTAATCGGTTCAGGGGGTCGACGAACCTTAAATCAGCCCCTCTGAATCGGATTTAAAAAAAAAATAAAAAAAAACAAAAAAATAACTATCAATTCTGCCCGATAGGCCTCTATCGGTGTAACAGGGTATCAACATTAACCGATGGATAAATGACAACCAGTCTCACTGAGGGCACCTCACAACAAGAAGCATACAAGTTCAAAAATACGTGCAAAGAACAACATTTAATTACTACCGGGATTCAATGTTTGGCATTGTGTGGTGAAGTTGCAATATTTTGATATCTTTGGTCAATTAGAAAATAATGATTATAAGTTTTAAATATTTATTCATTTTTAACCCCAAGCTACCTAGGTGGAGGGGAAGCCACCTTGGGGAGGACTTGCCCGCCTTGCCCCCAAAACCCAGGATACAAAGCGCACCCTAACCCTCAACCCTACAACCCCATTAGCTGACTATAAGTACAATAAATCATCAAAAATAAGAACTCTAATTGTACGTGGAATACATGAAATATGATCAAAGACTATAAGTTTTAAATATTTATCTGTCTTATGAATTTGTAGAACTATTCTTTTTAACTAAAATATTTTTGTTTTTGAATTTGGATATTTTTAATTTTAAGGGCAAGAATTTTAATTTGAACTTATATTTTGCATCTTATCCAATTCCCTCTCATTAAGTAATTCAGTCAACCCATATTTTTAAAACAAATCCAAAATTAAAACTGTTTTGTCCATGTGGCAAGTAAGCAATTTAACCATTCATGTTTTAGTCATTACATGATGTCATAATTAAATAATAAAATTACAAAAATTTATAAGCACATCTCTAATATTTTATGTTAATCATATTAAAGAGAAAAATATGTGTGATAAATAAAAATTGTTTTAATTGATAATAGAAATGAAATACAAAATTTAAAACCAACCCTTGATGTCACAATTAAATAATAAAAAACTAAAGAAAAGTGTCTACTTGTTCAAAGGCACACAATAAATTAGAAAAACACCTAGAAGTCCTTTTCACAAAATAACCTATACATGGAATGTTGTGAACTTTGGAATTTTTAAACATATTTTTTATTTTTAGAAATATTTTTCATCATAATAAAAATAAGAAAAATATCAATTTTACCCAAGTTTCATGTAAAACTTTTGAAATTCTGAACCAAAGCAACCGAAATCCCAAAGCTTTTGTGAAGTCGTATGCTTATACTACTACTTTGCACGTATTGCATGGATCCAAAATTTCAAATCCAAGATAATTTGCAATTCCATTAGGCCCTAGACCTTGTTTGTTTGGACTGCAATTTCACTTGTACTGTGGAAAACTTGGGTTTACACTTCAATTTCATGTTTTGTGGGGCGTGCTACCCCTCGTGTTGTGTAGCACATTTTGTTTCTATCACAAAAAAAAAAAAAAAAAGTTTTACTTTTGTCTTTGTTTTTGAGGCATCTCTCATTTGCACTCCCATAGATTTCCTATTTCTACTACTACGTACAAACGAAATTACGTCGCAAACAAATAGAGATTTAATAAGTGATCTATCATTAATCATAATAGATTTCAACCATTTAAAAGTTAAAACGTTACTTTTTTTCACTTTTGTATTAAAAGAATCAATAAAAACATTAATATATAGTCATAAAAATTAAATTTAGGATCCATTTGGTTAACGGTTGGAATTGGAATCAAAATATCTTTGAAATAAGTTGGAATGGGACCCCTCATTTGAGGGAATGCCATTTCATCAAGAATGGGAATCAAATTCTAATTCCATCCAACCAAATTGTTGAAATCGGAATGAATCCGATTCTAAACCCATTCTTACAGACCAAATGGGCCCTATTTAAATCTCTTAGTCAAAGATTAAAAGAATTTGAGTGGTTTTACGTGATTTTAAAGTCCACCTTAGGGTCATGGAATTTTAGGTTGAGTTAAAGTTAGGATTGAGTACGTCAGGTTGAAGGTTGGATTATATTAGAAATTAAAATCAGGGTTGGGGTTCAAAACCTTGATTGGGCTAGCATTGACCTCAACCGACCTAACCTGGCCCAGCCTGTCCCTACAAGCAAATGGAGCCTAAATAATCAATACAATGAGAAGATGCTAATTCATCAGATTCTAGATTTCACCTGTACAAATACCCTGTTTTTTTGGGAGAATGACTGATTAGCCCTGCTCAGAATTTTTTAGCTTGTACAGTTAAATCTTGACCATGGATTGATGCCAAATTCATAGATAAGATATGGTTTAGGGGGCTGAAATTCCTAAATCTACAATGGACTTGTCCATACTTTTCCCTTTTTTTTTAAGCTGTCAGAAAAGATACCTAACTCACCCGATTCTCGATCTCACCTACTGTGTTTGAAGCAAGGTTTTAATCAGACCAGACATGAAACCGTTTTGACCACCAGTTCCCAGTTTGAACGGTCTAAATAAATGGCCCATTTTGATTTAAGAAAAAAAACAAAAAATAGTTAAAATAAAAATGGCCAAAACCATTTTTCAGGTTGACGGTTCGACCACCTGGATCAGTGGGTCGCTGACCAAGTCAACGGTTTTTGGCACAGGGACAGTTTTAGCATAAAACGGAACCAATTGTCTTACCGTTCCTGGGTCAACCGGTCCGGTCTGGTTTTCAAAACCATGGTTTGGAGACTTCGAACCTGGATCTGCTACTAACAAACAACACTAGGCACGTCATATATTTCTGCCAGCTGTGCTCAAGACATGAGTAACATGTATCCTCTGTTCCTTACTCCCCTACTTGCGAACTCAGAAATTTCCTCGTCCAGAAGTAACCAGAATACGCAGTCCAGTAATCCACGATAGCTACTTCCCAGTTGTGGTGCAAATAAAACGTTGCAAGTCAAACAAAACGCGCCCTTCCTAGCCGTCCATATTGCATCTTTCTCTAGTCAAACAAGGCAGGCAATCCAAATCAAACTCAAATAAATCGACAGTCATCAGTCGTCCGATCGGAATAATTTCTTTCTCCTTTAGATTGCTTGGTCTACAGTTTTACATTGGCATGTTGTGCCACGTGTATGAACGGAGAAGCCAGATTTAGATCCTCAAGCAGAGGGAGTGGGGACCACAAAGAAGCTCCGTCCACGCAAATGCTAGGTTCGGAGACCAAAGCCAAATCCGAACCTCCCCAACGTGTGGCTTCCGTTGCCTCTCTCTACCCTCTCCTTTATATTTCCAGCCAATGCAAACCAGGGGCTCTACGAATTACACCAAAACAGCTCTAAACAACTGAAGGAGAAGAAAAAGATCTCTCAGAACTAGAGCTACAGTTGCTACAACTCTCTCTCTCTCTCTCTCTCAGTAGCTGAAGAACGACTCCTTTCTGTGTACTTCAATGGCTACATCGATTTCGGCAACTGGGCTCAGAGGAGGTCCACGTTCTTCCTTTCATGGAAGCTGGGGTACCTCTTTGATGGGTGAAGAATACAGCATTCTGGCTAAGTCAGTTCCAACAGGGATTCGAGTTGCTAAGCCCATACGGTTGCAACCCATGATGAAGAACGTCAATGAAGGAAAGGGTATCTTTGCACCCGTCGTCGTCGCCACCCGAAACATCATCGGAAAGAAGCGCTTCAATCAGCTCAGAGGCAAAGCCATCGCCCTTCACTCACAGGTACCGTTCCTTTTTCCGTCCCTTCATTTTTTTTCAGTATTGATTTTCCTGTTTTGAGGTATTCTGCGTTTTTCAGACCAGGGAAATCTGTCTAGTTCATTGATTTATTCCATCTTTTCACTCTGGCCGGGATTTAATTTGTTCTAAAAAAAAGAGAGTTCTTCTGACTTGAAATTAGAACAATCATATTCAGGTGATCACAGAATTCTGCAAATCGATAGGAGCGGATTCGAAACAAAGACAAGGGCTGATTCGATTGGCAAAGAAGAATGGAGAATGGCTCGGTTTCCTTGCTTGAGAAACGTTTTATTTATTTATTCATGGAGGAAATTGTTTTGATAGATGTTGTACAAGGAATTCCAGATGTATATACATTTCTCTCGTCTGGGTTTCTCTTGGATCAGAATGTAAACTAGAGACACCTCCTGTCTCATCTGAACTTCATTTCCCTTCTTATCCCTCCCCCTCCCCCCCCAAACAATCTTCTATTTTCTGTTAAATTTAGAAAATTACAAGGAACTTATGTAGTTGGCTCTATTATTTTCTATTATTTTCATTTCTTTCCCAAAACTTTTATTTTGGGAATGAAAGATTTTGTTCCCTCTAAATTTGTGGCAAACAGCTTCTCTGGAACCAAAAATATCTTATCTGGACGTTCGTGTCCAACCCAAGCACCACATAGCTCATATTGCATACAAGCAACCAATCAAAAACCATTTAACAATTTTAGTGTTTTAAAAATTGAGCCGGAGGGCTGACCCGCTTTTCATTCGGGTGGTGTGGTGGGTTAGTGGTTCAACTGTCTTGGTTGAACGAATCAACCCGTGTGTAAAAAGTAATACATTTATAAATGCATAATTTCATGCCCAATATAGATATGTAGATACATGTCTATAGATATAGGTGCTATTGAAAAATTTAAACCTAAAAATAAAAGAAACATTGTATCCATTGTCGGGTCAATGGTTAACTCCTGGGGATGCTGGGTGTTTACAAAGTTCAAAGTATCAACGTAGGGTGTTCATGGTCCGATTTAGAGAAGATTTCAAATCAAATCAGTATATTATAATTTGAGAACTTCTCCAATCAAACCAAATCATTCTATTATGGTTTAGTCCGATTTTTAATATGGTTTGGCTATATTGGGTTTAACCCAGTTCAAAAGCTCAAATAACATGTATATCTACTTAAATAACAAATATGGAATTGAAATGTTAACAAGTGCCACCTAATACCATTATATAAATTACACTCACACTTTCTAAAAAATAAACAGATTCTTGGGTCAAATAACAAGTTAAAAATTGAAACAAACAACAAAAATGTATAAAATGTCAAATATATTATATATATATATATCAATAAAATGTATTATTAATAATTTGGTTCAATTCAATTTAAGTTTGGTCTGCATTTTAAAATTTAAAAAGCCAGACCAAGTTTAAAAAGTATGAAAAACTATCAAATCAAACCAAACCATTTTAAGGCCAAACCAAATCAACCTACCATCCGATGGGATTTGGTGGTCTAGACCATACCAATTAAGTTTGGTGAGCAACTCGGGCAGGCTCAACCTTAGCCCATACCAATTAAGTCCGCAATTTTTACACAAGCTGGGCTTAAACTTTTGATACTCAAGTTAGGCCTAGGCCTAAGACTTCGGACCTTTTTATTTTGTAGGCTAGGTTTGGACCTAACATTAAGCAATCCAAATCCAACCCAACTATACACAATTACACATTCATACACATATGCATATTTATGTATTTGTATAAATGCATTCATATATGTTAAACTTTAAAATGAATTCATTGGCCAACTCAAGCCTGGCCTATATATATATATATATATATATATATATTTCACCCATATCGATCATATTACCTGGTACAATCTGGTATCGATCTGTAGGGCCTATATTAACCAATAATTCCTTTTTTTTTTTGGCATTTTGAATTTGAATTCATATTCCCACACCGTTCTCTTTCTCCTATATTAACTCATATTTTTCTCTCATTCCCATATTTAACTCTCTCACACACTCTCTCCCATCATTAACATGAATAACCACTAAACCATTCTTCAATCACTTGTCATAATCATGTGAATTCTAGATTTTAACTCGAAATCAGCTCCCCACAACGTCCTACAACACATCTCCGTCGTGTATTGGAAACATCTCCTGATGATGACATCATCGTTTCTGGGATTATCATCAGGAGATGTTTTCAATGCATGGCAGAGATGTGCTGTGGGACGTTGTGGGGCGCAATTTTTGTGGGGGGCTGATTTGGCCTCTTAACTTTCATTTCTCTTTAATTCATGCTTTTCAATAAATTTTAAAAAGCAATTGATTATTAAGTTTCATAATAATAATAATAATAATAATAATAATAATAATAATAATAATAATAAGGGTAAATTACAAAGGATCCCCTTGTACTATGGGATTTGTGACAAAGACCCCCCTGTATTTTGTTTTGCGACAGAGACCCCCTGTACTATGACCGTAAGACAAAAACCCCCTTCTGTTACCCCTTCGTTGAAATCTGCCATTGCAATATTTTTAATCTCCATATTACCCTTTTAATAACTATTTGGAGAAAAACACTGTTCATCTTTCCTGACTTCACGATACACGAACAGCAATGGCGGTAGCTATTGCAACAGCAGCGGGCTTCCAAAGTCCCCTCTCTCTTCTTCCCCTTCCCCTTGCAGCTTCAGACAGCCAGTTTGAGTTAAGGTGTTTCATTTTTTTTTATTGAAGGCATCTCTCCCCATCTCTAGCTACCAACTTCTCGATTACTTGCTTACGTCTTGGGAAAGGGGTTGTGGGTTGGTGGATTTAGCATCCACAAGGCCAAAATTAACCCAAAAGTTTAGGAAGAGAAGAAATATAACTAGTTTATTTGGTTGATTATCTGTTTGATTAGGTTCTGTGTGAGATAAGATGAGCTTGCGTGCGGAAGATAAAGGATCAATGGGTTGAGCCGGATGCATGAAGACGATGGTAGAAAGAGCAAAAAAGAAGCAAAGATCTTTTTATAAAAGAAAATTAAGGGAGCAAGAAATTGGGTTTACTGTAGATTTAATGGATTTGAGAGGGCAGGACAAAGAGAGAGGAATGCCAAGTTCTTTGGATTATAATCCTCCCATTCGACAATCATCCTCAAAGTTCTCCTCTCATCCAGTTATTTCAACAGGACTGGTAGGAGGAGAAAGAAGAAGAGATGGGACTAGGAACGGGACAGCGATCCTCAACTCGTCTCAAATTCAAACCCTAGATCATCTTCAACGACATCATCACCACCGTCCCATCAACCACAAGGGCATGGAAGGAATCCAGACCCAGAATCATATCTAGTTCCAGTCGCAATTGTAGTTAGTGGTGCAACAAGTGCACCAGTTGCAGGTGGATCCAACTCAGCAAGGACAACACCACCGCCCCTCCTCTTCCTCCTCCAACAACGGCCACTATATCAACAACTACCAAGAGTACTGCTACTGCTGTTCGATATCGAGAATGTTTCAAGAACCATGCGGCAAGAATTGGTGGACATGTTGACGATGGCTGTGGCAAATTCATGCCGAGCGGTGAGGAAGGGACCCGAGGCCCTAAAATGCGTCGCATGCGACTGTTACAGGAACTTCCACCGAAAAGAGATAGAGGGGGAGCCCCAATCGGGGGCAAATTGTTATTACTACCATAACAAGAACCACGATGGCAGCAGAAGTAGGATCCCACCTCCCCAACCCCAACTACCTCCTCCACCTCTTCAACAACACCAAAAATCCAACTGGGGTTACCTACCAGTCTGTCACTAGGATCAATTCCTCCCGTAATGATGGCCTTCAGAGGCAGTAATGGAATTGGTGGCGGAGCAACTAAGTCGTCAAGCAAAAACCTCAATGCGTACCAGTCATTGTCTCTATCAAAGAAGAGGTTTCAGACAAAATTATCCCAAGAGCAGAAAGAATGTTGGAGAGGAACAGAAAACAGTTTCTCTCTCCATCTGCAAGGAACGGAAAAAGGGGAAGGGGAAGGGGAAGAAGAGAGATCTGGGGAGAGAGAGGGATGACTTCAGAAGTCCGTCGCCACTGATGTTTGTGTATCATGAGGTCGGAGAAGATGAACAGTATTTTTCTCTGAATAGTTATTATTAAGATAATATGAGGATTAAAAAATATTACAACGGCAGATTTCAACAAAAGGCTAATGGAAGGGGGAGTTTTGTCGCAGTACAGGAGGGTCCTTGTAATTTACCCTAATAATAATAAAGTATATATTCTATACTTTATTATTATACTCCATATCATACTTCACATAAACTCTTATAATTGCCTTCTTTTTGATACTTTTCGCGTTTCACATACTTTTTAACTTTTTTTTGGCACATAGTTTGAACCTTAACTGGGTTAGAAATTAACCCAACGGCATCATGAATGGGTGACTGGTTGAACGGTCAGACCGGCCGTTGCCTTGCCTATTACATAGTTGGTAGCACATGTCATATATCAATCATAGTAGTAAACGCCAGAATTTATGTCATGGCAGTATTGTCAAACAAATTACATCATCATTCAAACTAACTGCTCATACATCCATTAACAACCTAGTGGCCGGTGGGCAAGCACAAAACACCTTAAGACATTAACTACTCATCACTGCTTAAGCATAGAGTAATTTAGAGAAGCCAACCAAGTCTGCAACTATACGAATCAGTATTCTATATGACGTCAAATAAAAGCACATAATAAATGCCAGGAATTGAAACAACAACCGCCAATTGTCAAATATTGAATAGAACAATTACAGGCATTAAAAATAGGTAATCCAAGTAATATAACATTTCAAGGATTCAATGGTTTTTACTATAATCAATAAACAAAGAAGATAACAAACTTGCAAGGTTCTCATCATCGTTTCACAAAAAACAGGGAGAGTGGCTCAAAATTGAGGTGATCCAAGAGTTCTCAGACATTGTACCGGCCTCTGATTGATTTGTCCCTCCTGGAATCATCCTGCAATGGTCAAGGGGGTGAGAGAGTGAGAGGGGGAAAGGAATTGAGCAGGATCAAATGGTTGGAATTATTAGAAGTGGCACTCACATGGAAGGAGTATGTTATCTTATCGGTAACATCAATGATCTCCTTCCACTTCCTTCCAATGCTCATCTGCATAATACAAAGGAACAAACATGCAAGAGTTAAGAGAAAGATAACTGAAGTCCTCCACTTTCGTGATTGATTTCAATGAATCAAACTAGAGGTCAAAACATGGGACAGTTGGAGAAGTCCTCCACTTTCAATATTTTAATTTCTGCCAAGAACCATAATTAGAGGAAAACTGTGCTTTTGAAAAAAATTAGTATTTTTTAGATAGACATTTATCATATCTTGTCAATGGTTCATGACCAAAAAGAACATGAGTGAAGATGTTAAAGCTGCATAAGATGAAGAATTTGAACGACTGAATATTATATTTTCTCATAACTTAACAATGGATAAGGCATCCAACAGAACAAAATGGAGAAACAGGATTTATGTAGCAAATGGCGAAACAGGATTCGTGTATCCAACCCCAAACACATAATTGGGATAAGGCTTCGATGATGATGATGATAATGATGAATTCAACGAATTTTTGTTATTGATAAAAAAAATGATGATGATGATGATCATAAAGATTCCTCTTAAGAGATAAGAGTTAAGAGGAAATGTATAGGCCCTGTCTGCATTTGGCATTCCTTATTTTAAGAACTTGTCTCTTTTTTGGGGTTAAAAACTTAGTGTTCATAGGGGCATTTTAACCACAAAAAAAAAAAAAAAAGAGAAGAGAGAAAAGTCCCTAAAATAAGGAATGCCGAATGCAGCCTTAGCCCTAGATCAACACCTAGAGCAAGGTTTACGGTATAATCAATATGTATCACATTGTATCATGCATATCATACTAGCATCGAAGGTCACCAAAATGCAAAAATAATGAAAGTTGGGGGGTTTTGGATGATTCAGAGCAGAAGACATCCTCAGCAGTCAGTCTCTCAATTATTAGGTTGAATATATCTATTATCATGCATTCCAATATTTTGAACCTTGCCCCTAGTCTCTCTCTCTCTCTCTCTCTCTCTCTCACACACACACACACACACACATACATGGAGAAAAGAAAAAGAGAGAACCATTTTCTTGTTTTGGTGTCTGGTTGCGCCTAAAAAATTGAGGACCCTCCAAAAACCCTTGCTGGATGTGATCACAATAGTCATCAAACCCATCTCATCCAAAACCAAATGTCATAGCAAACACAGAGTTTTGAAAAAAAAAATGCATGGACAAAACTAGGTTGAGCCATTGAGGCAATTTCTGATCTAAAGGAGTCAACCTTTGCAGTTGGAGTTATGGCCCCTAATGTGAAGTTCTGTAATGGTTAAGCATTGTAAAAGCCCCCAATAACTTTTTCTACAAATTTACTCTTAACGTTCTCTTCCCATTGTGTTTGCAGCCATTCACTGTGACCCACCTCCACATTTTTCAGAAATAAAATCTTCCAAATTTCTCTCTTAACTTACACTTTTATCTAACCAAACCAAAGAAAATAGGGAACATTTGAATATCTCTTTCTTCCCTCACCTAAAGGGGAACCAAATAGAAAATTAATGGAGTCTAAACACAGAAGAAAACTTTCACGTGGCAAGTGAATTTGGAGCCCAAAAGGATTTCCCAGATCCCTCAATTAGCACTATAAAAATCGGTTTTGTCCACCCCCGGTTTAGAAGGGAATCAGCCAAGGAGTTCATCTCCTTCAGAATCCATCTAAAAGAGGAGCCAAGGTCAGAAGAAAACGCCCTAAACTCATTTAACAAATGAGCAACTTTACAAGGGCCCCAATCAAGGGTACTAGCACATCCAATCACATTTACCAGAAAGGGCAAGCATTTAAAGATTTACCAGAAAGGGCAATCAAGAGCTCTAGTTTCAGCTTCAGCTGCATCAGCAGTGCCAACAGGGCTACTGAAAGCCAAAAGAGGATTACATCTAGCATCAGTGATGATCCCCCCCACCAACTCCAGCAGGCCCTCTATGACCATCAATGCCTCTGTAACTTCCATTGAACTTAAGATAAAAATCACTGGTTGGTCTTAAGTCGGAGAAAGTGAAGACTAAATTGAAATGGGATTTATCAGAAGCCATTCAATGATTCAATCTGATAGTGCTAGAATGTTTCAGACTTTCAACTAAGAGGCCCTAACTCCACGCCCCAGCTGTAACATGCAACTCCGCATGAGAAATGGAACTAAGGAGCCAAATAATCCCAGATTTGAAATTGCATCCACCTCCTCACCCTCTATCCATGCAGTTATGTTTTTTTTTTCTTTAAACTCTGTTTATTTGCTAAAACACTTGGGGGGGAAATGGGTTTGACGCCTATTTTTACTGTGTCTAGTAGGTTTTCGTATGGGCCTTCTCTCCATTTAATTTTTAGCAACCAAATATCAGATGATTCTACTTCCTTTCCCTTCTTTTTCCCAATCCACCTTATTTTCTAAAGTACCACATCATAACCATCCCCTTAAATAGCTTCAATAATTCTTTCCCAAACCTTAGATTCCATAATTCTTAGGCCTCTCACTAAGGGGAGTTTCCCTGTTTTCCAAACCATGAAATATTCCTGCAATTCATCAGAGAATTCACACAAAACCTTTCTAAGCCTAATTGCACCACCCTATTGACTTTTTTTTTTTATCAATAACTTATATTCATTAGATTAAAAGAATTTAGTTACAACGCTCCAGAGAGAGATAAACAGGCTTAACTCTCTCCAGGAAGATAACAAAAAAGAAAAAGTTACAGAACAGCCCAAAACATTTGATCCCTTCCCAAAGCATAAGCAAATGCATTTGCTGTTCTCTTGACCCACTGAATCTTGATTTCCAATCCTCTAGTTAGCCACTTAATCTCCCTCCTCTCATTAGCATATTTCCAAAGTCCACTACCTTCTTGTAACCAACTTAAGACCAGCTTTGAGTCCCCTTCAATGGCTAACTTTTGTATATTCAATTCCTTAGATTTCGTTATACCCTCCAGTACTGCATAGACCTCAGCTTTGAGAGAGTCTCCAAACCCAATGGAACCTGAATACAAAGCGAGCACCTTCCCATCCTCATCTCTGAAAACCCTTCCTACACCTGATGGACCTAGGTTTCCCTCACTACTTCCATCAAAGTTTAGCTTTATAAGTCCACTTCCTGGTGGTGACCACACAGGACAAACTAAAGAGCGAGCAGGAGCAGAATTTGCCACCTCCATCCAGCTATTCAATAACATATCCGTAGAAATATCAACAAACAGGTCCAAGGATTTCAGCCAATGTACCACCCTCACTATTACTACTTCAATAAGGCAATCTTTACTTCTTTCAACTTCAGAGAAAATTCTGATTTCCTTTCCTCCCAAAGAGTCCAGCAAATAGCAACCCTCACACATCTCTACATTATCCTTCCCCTTTTGTTTGACCAACCAAAGAATGAGGGGCTAAACAAGCTTTGAATGTTTAGAGGTGGGGTCCACCTGCAACCAAAAGAGGAAAGAAACAATTCCCAAAGATCAGTAGCAAAGGGGCAAGAAACTAATAAGCAGTAGGAGCTTCACCATTAGCCTTGCAAAGAATGCACCAATTTGGAGACAAGCACCAAAAAGGCATTTTTCTTTGGAGTACGTCACAAGTATTACATCTTCCGAGGAAGGCTTCCCAACAAAAGGCTCCAATCCTTGGACGAATTGGCTCACCCCAAACATCCTTAACTGAAAAGTTTTGTGCAAATGGACTGGATGAAGGCAGTATGGACTTGAAGAAAGAAGCACAAGAGAAGGTTCCAGAGAGAGTTAGGGTCCACAGTCTCTTATCCCTCTCAAAGGGATCCAACACCACCTGGTCTAAGATCTGAACCAGACTCATAACATTTTCAACCTCTACATCCCTTAAGCCTCTTCTAAGCCCCAGATCCCAATCAAACCCAAATTCAGACTCAGAAGGAACTAGAAAACTGGACACAACCTTGCCCTTAAACCAGGAGAGTGAAAACAAGGAAGGGAATTGGTCTTTCAAAGGTATCTCACCCTCCCAAATGTGCTCCCAAAACTTTACCTGTTTCCCAAAGCAAAGGTCATACCTGATGTGCTGCAAAAAGGAAGGAAGAATGACATGCAAAAAGGAGAAGCACCAACAGACCTTGCCGAAGTCCCAATATCCCAGCCATCATCTACCTGACCATCATCACCTTCATAGTCCTAAGGGCAGCCCAGTGCATGAAGCTCCCACCAATGCAGGGTCTGGGGAGGGACAGATGTCCACAGCCTTACCCCTGTACATACAGAGAGGCCGTTTCCAAGACCACCTTCATATTCCTAAAACTCAAAAAAGAAAAAGAAAAAGAAAAAAAATATTAAGAAAGTTCTATCTTTATAGTTACAAGGGACACAATGTCCAAATTATTGTGTTGCAAAGATGTACATCAGCTGCAAGGGCTTATTATAACAAAGATAGACAGGTAGTTCACTCTGCATCTGATCGTGGTCAAGACGTCAAGTGCTTCATACAGCTACTCTTCTTTTAAAACTGGCTCTTCTACTATTTCAGTCTTCAATTCAGCAGTTATCCTGATGACAAGAAACTTACATTTTTTTTGCAACCTTGTATTTCAAACCATCACCAATCCTCAATACTGTACTACAAAATCACATGTTCATTTGTTCCAATCAGATGGTTTAAGACAACATGCATGAACTAGCACAACTTAATAGAAAAAGTCAGTTTTATCTTAGTCAATATTGAGCCACTCCAAACATGGTTCTACATCATTTAGTGTGATCCTTGAGAATGATCAACTCAGTCTACCCTGATGTCTTTATCTATGTAGTAGATGGAGGAGCATTTACCATATTTCATTTAAACAGAAAAACCTCCATTTGTTTCACTGTAAAAGGGTAAACATGGTGAAGATGCATTGAGAAGCCAAAGCCTTTCATCTCAAAGTTTTTCCCCTCATAATTTTTCTCTGTTACCAATATAAAGCCCTTTTGCTACTAATTACATCGATATCAAAGCTCAAAGTAAGGGGTTAATATTCTATTTGAATCCTTTAACAAATACATGTGATCGATATCAAAGCTCAAAGTTTTATCAATGCATCCTACCTGCATTATATATTTTATCTTGCTGGTTGAACAATGGTACTTTTTTGTATCATTATCTATTTTTGTTTACCTGTATTATATATTTATCTAGCTGGAAAGGAACTCAAGAGTTTTTTATCAGAAGAGCAACCTAGTGGAGAGAGTGGTTAATGGCACAGTTGAGGTTTTAAGGCAATGCTATCAGCATCTGGTCTTTTCAGGGAGAATGAGTTTTCCCCTTATTTTTTGCCTGTCGACTTTTTTGAGGATACTTGATGACTTGTCAATCATTGTACAGACCCTGATATTTTGATATACTATTAATACTTTTGCCTTACCTTTTCAAAAAGGAGGTACTTTTTTGTATCAGTACAACAAGAAGCTGGTATTGATTCATTGACAGTTTACAGGCACCATAGTTTAGTGAAAAAAGCTGTTGGTCTAAAAATAATAGCAGTGAGTGTATTCATTTTTTTTTATCAGTGTGAGTGTATTCAAATATTGAAACAATATAACCTTGATATGGTCTGCAACAGGAAGAATAGACCAGCAAGAGAGAGGAAAAAACAACCTACATCTACACCATTAAATCAAGATACTACAACTCAAAACATCCAAATATTGAAACCATTCCCTATGCCCCCAGATCTCTTTATATGACTAATGGTGCTAAATCCCCTTGAGGAGATCAGTACAACGAATTAAGATACACGAAGAAAAAACATGTTCTTTGGGTTCTAGGATTTTCAAGGCATCTGAGAGCCAGTCACCTTTTGAGTGCATTATGCCAACTGCCAACCTCCCCAACCACCCACCCCTTCTTCATGTCTTCATGGAGCCTCTTAAGTTAAGAAGCATAAAGGTCAGGAAATTTATACACATCTCCACTGCCCTCCTCCCCCTCTCCTGGTTCTTTCCCAACTTCATTTGTTGGTTTCATGACTTTTTCAATAAGAACATGGCAACTTTGTAATTTATTGCATTAGCTTCACATGCCACTCAAAGTGCTTTTTCTATAAATAAGATGTATTTACGAACAAGTAAATAAACAAGAAAGGATCTCTTATATCAAAGAAGTAATGGAAACAGATTCTCTAGTCACAGCTGATGAGCACAAAACATTATCTACAAAGGGAACTTTGCTTGAGCTTTTTTATCTCGAAGAATTTTCAAACTTCAGCAGGTGATGCACATTTATCCTGATGGCGAAATTAAACCAATTCCATAGATGATCAGATATAGGCACCTCATCATGGACAAGATCATTGAACCCAAGAAAGAAAGTGGAACAAAGCATTGGGTTTATCTAGGTTAAGAAATAATTACAACTGCTAATAAAGCCATGAAGTCAAATACCAAAAGAAGGTTGCATTCTGTTAAATCTTAAATTCTAACCTATTTTACATGGTAACAGATTGGGTAAGGTGTCTGACACGGAATTTACACTAAAAGTCTAAAACATTGAAGTGTACAACACAGGTACAGCTTCCATTTTGAAGTGTCCATGCAACATAGGTCCTAACTCTAAAACACATGCCAAACAGCTAGAGAGATGTAGTAATTAATAATGGCATCAACAAAAAGATGTCCATCTATATTAAATTGATATAAACATCAAAATGTCAAGAGTAGTATGAATTTAACCTGAAGAGCTTCATTGGTTGCTGTCTTAGTCCATAATGCAAGTTTGTCCTGCCTCTGGCGCACACTTGCAACAACACCACAGATATCATCACTTTCATCAAATTGCTCCCCAATCAGAGCCATCAACTAGTCAATGAAAGCAATAGTCGCAATACATGTCAATAAAGTGATTATTTAACAAAATCACTTCAATAAATCATAAATAGTAAGAACAACAAAAAATGAATAAATACCAAGAAGAGCCCAAACTTCCGATCAAAAACAAGAAAAGCTCAGAACTTTACTGTTTCAAGCCACATGTTATCAAGATTAGCCTTCCTGCTGCTGGTAACACTCCACTTGCCTCCATTGGCACATTCTGGGTCTTCCCATTTGGGCTCGATCCCAGATTTGAACAAGTGGAAATCGGCATTCGCAGGAAATTTGCTAGGTCGAAATATCTGATCATACAAACTGCAGGGAGAATGTATAAGTACCAAAGCGGAAACTTGGCATTGTTCTCATAAAATTGATCTGTAGTAAGGAAAGAATCATGTACTATATACGTAATTGCTGCAAAATCATAAACCCAAAAGTAAAAGAACAATAGGGTGGGGGGGAGGGCAGGGAGAGAACAAAAGAGGAATATAAGCAATATTTAATACTGATTACTGAATTAGTAAAGAAAATACAAAAAAAAAAAAATTAATTCTAAAGATTATAAACTCCAATACCCATGTCACCAAAAGGACTAAACCAAAAGAATGACAAAAAAGCATAGAAATCAAGCAGTATAAGATGCGAAAAATTTTAACTTTCTAGACCTAAAAAATAGATAAATTCATAAGAGAAAATCGCGATGTCCTCGAGCTAAAGTTGGATCTAGTACGCACCACCAGAACTCTTCAACGGTGTCGAAGGTGTAGATTTTGCGAAGAGAGGTCCCCCAAGCGGCACCTTGCTTGGGCTTCGACTGGTTATCAAACCAAAACGTCCATTTCCTCTCCAGCCGATGCTTCTGCTTCGAACCTGCCCCTGTCGGTTCCTGCCCTCCCTCGTTCGCCATCCTTTTTCCTGTTCTTTCTTCCTTCCCCTTTTTCCCTTGACGAATAAAGAGAAACAAAAAATTTCCTTTTCGGCTGCCTACTGTCTTGGGGAACAGGGGAACAACTTATCGAGCCTCCCTGTATTAATCTTCAGACAGAAATACAAAACCCGAGTATTTAATGCATAATATTAGCATGTACAAGACGCACAATGTATCAAAACCCATATGGAAATGTGATGGGCCATGGGCCTAGAAAGTGGCTATGTGATGAGATGCTTTTTTAACCGTTTGATCTGTACATATTCTGGGCTGGGAATAGTAGATCCAGTCCAACCCAGGGCCCATGGTTTTGTCAAGCCCAACTTATGCCTTACCTGGCTACCCAATTGATTAGGTCAAAACTGTCCCATATTGGGTCCAACCCTAGCTAACCCCCTAGTGGTCCTATGGGCTTTGGGGGATTGGACCTTACGTATAACATATGACTGGGCTGAATGGACAGGGCGGGGCTGCTTCAAGTTTCAGACCTCTTGGTCTCTCACCAGTCACCAGACAGGCAGAGACGCCTTGACTCTTGAGAGAGAGAGAGAGAGAGAGAGAGAGGTGGTGGGAAAAGATGTTGTTTCAGGTAGGAGGGCAAGGGACGCGTCCGACGTTCTTCGAAATGGCCGCGGCTCAGCAGCTCCCGGCCAGTCTCAGGGCTGCCCTAACTTACTCTATCGGTGTAATTACTTCTTCTTCAATTCTTGACTTGTAGTTTATCTGTTTGTTGTTGAAAGGGAAGTATGAAAGAATTGGAACTCAATGGCAGTGTTGTTCTGCTGCTACTGTTTTTAATTTTCAACTTTTCTTAAATTTATTTGAAAGAAAAAATTGGGACGACTATTCGTTCATAAGAATGCGCTCTTGTTAGTTTTGATCGGAGGGAACCTTAATTGTTTGCTGTACAATCAAATTCATAGTCGCGATATAAGTTGTGATTTATATTCTCAAAAGATCAAAAAACAAAAAGAAAAGGTTCTTGTCTATGAAACCGAGATAAACTTTGGTGGTCCAATGATAAATCTGGTATGTTTACAGTTAACGATTCATCTCTTGACCAGGATGAAAGTTGATTCACTCCCCCCCCACCCGGGTATGGATATAGAAACAAAGAGCGCCATCAAAGGTTATTTTCTTTCTGTGGATAACTACCATAGGCAAAGGAGTTCCCATCATTGATGTGCCGAGAAGGAAACCATTCAGCACCTTCTAGTTCATTGCAGTTTCTCTTATGGTCTCTGGTCTCATGCCGAGGAATGGTCGGTTGTTTGAAGACTAGTCATTACCTATTGAGAAGATGTGTGTCAATTTGGAAAAAACTTTGCTGAAATGGGCATCTGTTAGTAGCCTGTTCTGGGGTGTTCAGTTTAGACACTTTCTAGATTACTAGAGCATTATTCTGTGAGATAATGGTTTTGTTGTGTAATTCCTATGAGCTTGAATGAGTTATAAGCTTTTGTATTTGGATGTGGAGGAAACTTCTCCTGTGAGTATGAATGAAATCTTCACCTAATTAATGAAATCTTTTCTGTGTTGCCAATCAAAAAAAAAAAAAATCACCATTTCTCAACAAAAATCTGGAAGATCATGTTTGCTAGAGATAGACTATATGTAAAGCTGATATGCACATTTCACACTTGAGAAAAATAGAGTATCCCTAGAGACGTTTACTTGTTTGTCTATTTTTTCTTGAAGGCTGACTTCTGTGGTATAAATTGTTTTGGAGTTATATTTTTTTTATTCAACCACTATTTGGAATTCATTATGAAATTAAAAAAGAAAAAACTGGTGAAACAGTCTTCTTAACTATGTAATAGAAAAAAAGAGAAATGTGGTTGTTGGCATGTTGTTGCCACATGATATGCATTTGGACTGTTGAGTTTCATATATAACTAGAAAAGATTAACTGATATTGCTGCTGCTTGAATATATACTTTTGTTTTAGGAGCTTTTTTTCTTCTCCTTTGAGGCCACTAGTTGTTAAACCAATATGTGTGTTCTTTCATTTCAACTATCTATGTTCTCGGGCACTGGCTTGTTTCAGATTTTAGTAATTGGTAACTGCTCCATATCTTTATTGTTTCTTGTATATGTTTGGGTTTAAGGCTAATGCGTGATCATGCAGGTCCTGGCTCTAAGAAGACCATTTCTCCACAAGGTGTTAGACTATGAGGATGAGTTCTTTGCACTGCTAATGATGATCCTTGAAGGTCATAGTTTACGAACTACAGGTATTTCCTCAGTTCTTTGTCAATTTCCTGTCTAATATTTGGATTGTTGCTCCCCCCTTCTCCTAAGATAAACAAAAGTATGCCGATGTCATTGTCTAGTTGACAAGTTTGAACATGAAAAACATTTGTACTGCTAACTGATAGGTGTTTTCTAAGATATGATAAACATATAGTCCAATCATCTGAAGTTTCTTCATATAAAAATGCACAATTGGAAAAGAATCGGCTCCAATTTATTAACTTTTCTGCACTTTTTCTTAGTGTTCATATATTTTATTGTTTGAATTATTTATTCTATTGTTAGCTTATCTTGTTGCCATTATTGATGCCCTATGTACTTTTTTCCTTTAAAATATTGCAACATGCTTGGTAAACCCCATAGTTTTCAAGGTGTCTAAGTGATTCTGTGCAACACTGGGGCGCCTAGGCGATAAAAATTTTATAATATAAAAACAAACTTTTGGATAGTTCCCTAGTTTTATATACTATTCAGCATGTATATTAATAGAAAAAAATAACAGTTCTCTTTAATAAGAACATTAAATTTCCTCAAAAATGTGGCAAATCATCACATCTAAAAGATAAAAATCTTTTACATATATTAATTTCATTATTTTCAAAAATAATATACTATAATAAGTATTTAACAAAGCAATTTCATATCAATTAGCAGCTAAAGAAGGTTATTAACTTTATATGATAAATATTCAAGATGGAAAGTAAAATAGAAAAAAACAAGGATGGAGCTTCTGTCTTATTTAATTAGAGAGAGAGAGAGAGAATAGAAAGAAAAATAACCTCTTTATAATTCTGTTCTTTCTTTCCTCTTTCTTTTTCTTTCTTTCTTTCTTTCTTTCTTTCTTTTTCTCTCTTCAAAACCCTTTGATCTTTTAAATTTCAATAGTAAAACATTAAAACAAAGTATAATTGATATATATATATATATATATATTATAATAAAATCATGTGGAGAGCTACAAGAGCAGCTGTTCTTTGGTCGATTTTGGGAAGAAGGAAATAATAGTATCTTTAAGAATACTAAAAGATCCAAGGAGGAAATTGTATAAGGAATAACTATTAAGGTTATTCATTGGTTGAAAACAAGTGAACTGTTTAAAGACTTTTCACTTTTCAGCTGATGACATTTATAGAAGATGGGATGAGGTGGCAGGTACTACATCCCTAAAGCCTGTGGTACAGGAAATGTGGGCCCCGCCAACTTCCCAAAGCACAAAGTTGAACTTTGATGGAAGCTCTACAAGTAATCCGGGCCCGTCGGGTATAAGGGGAGTATTTAGAGATGGGGAAGGCAGAATTATTGCCATGTTTTCGGGGCCAATGGGAGAAGGAGATTCATTAAGAGAAGTGTTCTGGGTTCTTTGGAATGAAAAAAATAGAAGACTTTATGAAGACAGATCAAAGAACACTGAAACACTAGTTGCTCTGGTTGGGAAGCTAGTAGCAGATTGGGTTTGGGTGCTAGCAGAATTTGATCAAATCAGCAGATCTGAAATAGGGAGGAACTTTTGGAATATTCTAGAAATTCAGTGGTTGTAATTTGGATTTTTGTCTGCTCTTATTAACAGTTAGTTTGTTGTGTGAGCAATGGTGACACCTTGTCACCATTTGGATTGTATTCTTCTTTTTTATTTAATAAATTTTCATTTACTCTTAAAAAAAAAGAGCAGAGTTACTTCAAGGCATAAGATATGCCAAACACTTGGGGCTACATCGAATGGAGATTGAAGGGGACTCTAAGCTGTTAATGGGATGGACGGTGGATGCAGTCAGGTTGTTTGGAAGCATGGAAATATAGACAGATGACAAGGGAAATAATCAATATAACAAGGGAGATTGGTGTGTGCTTTAAGTGGACAAGAAGGTCAGCTAACGGGTTAGCTGATACCTTAGCAAAACAAGGGACTGTAAGGGAGAACATGTTTTGGGCAGTGCTGTAATGTGTATGTAACTTGGGTCAACTTCAGTTTAGGAGTTACAGATGTACTTTGTCATAGTTTAAAATTTTTAATGAAGTTACTGCTTCCAATAAAAAAAAAACTTTTAACACATACATTAATAAGATACAGCAATATAGATAATATTATAAAAGGCGCCCGCCTTGTCATTTTTGTCGCCTAGGTGGGTGCCTAGTTGCCTAGAAGGGTGCCTAGCTGCTAAAAGTCAAGGTGTTTGGGTGAGGCTCCCAGACAAGGGCGTCTAGTGGCTTAGGCAGGCACCTAGGCGACACCTTGACAACTATGGTAAACCCATATTAATGTAATATAGAAAGGTGCAATAAACAGATTAACAAGGGGCACATGTTGGTAGCTCAACTCTGACTGTGCAAGCATTCAACCCATTTGGTTGAAGGCCATATTTGCTCTGCATAAGTGAATATGTAGAATGTTTTGTTCCCTAGGCAGCTTTTGTTTCTATGTAAAAGTGGTGGAAAACAAAATTTTTGTTTCTTAAAATGGATGAAAATATAAGTAAATAATTCCAGATTAAAAAATTTCCACCCCTTTTTAAGTGAAACAAATGGATCCTTGAGGAATCTCTATGTCCGGTCTGTTCCCATCTTTGTTTGCAGACATTTTTCTAGTTTAGATGGTCTATCTTTGAGTCCTATTGGCTCTTAGAGAAATTCTGTTCTTACAGTAACCTTGACGGAGGTCATTAGTAAAGTGAAGGTTATGGGGAGGTGTGCACTCTTGCAGCTATTTTCTGGGGAGGAAAGGAAGTCAATTTTTTTTTTGTCCAATAGCTTTTGAAGAGAGATAAGCACCACGGTAATGAGCTGGCTGGTCGAAGGTTACTACTAAGTGACAATAAGGTGGATGACTTTGACCAAGGAGAGTCCTTGGTCCTTTAGATTCTTCATTTGGGTGGTTAGACCTTAGCTATCCTCTTGAGTAGGTAGTTGAGGTAGATACAACACTCAGCTAATGCACTAGCTGGCTTCTAGCCAAAGTAGGTAGACTGCTGATTCTTCAGTAGGGGCTTTATGCCCAGGGGAACTTCTGTTCTTGTTTTTTTTTTTTTAGAAAGAAGGTAAAGTATCGTATTACTCACAAAGCAGCAAAAAGTCAAATCTGCAAAAGATAATTCTGTACATCTTATATTCTGAGTATGCGCATAGATACAAAAAGAGCCAGAGTCTAAAAAAAAAGAACTATATGGCCTATTTCCTAAAAATTTGTGTTCCTACCCCAAAAACCTTTCAGTAAATTTTCTTCTGTGTTATATTTATTTTCGAAGTCTCTTGGTTCTTTCTGCCCAAATTGTCCAAACCACTGTAGCACACCCTACCCCCAAACCACCTTGCCTTCTTTTGATAAACCATTCAGCTGCCAACCCCATAACAGTGCAATTAAATTTTCTGGATGGAAAGGCTCTACTTCAAACAGCTCTAAAAACTTTGCACATAGCCTCCTTGCAACTCTACAGTGAATAAACAAATGGTCTGAATCTTCTGAAGCTTCTCCACACATTATACACCTACTGGGCAACACTCTCAGCCCTCTCCTTGCCAAGGCATCTACTCTTAAACATTTGTCCAATACTGCCACCCATAATAAATAAGCAGCTTTTGGAGGGGTTACAGTGTTCCACACTTTAGCTTCTGTGTAGCCCTCCATCTCCACATAAGTGAGTTTGTTGTAGAATGATCTGACTGTGAAGCTTCCTACTTTATCCCATTTCCAAATTGGCTTGTCCCTAGTCATAATATCAAGTACAATGGCACAGATTTGCTGCATCAGATCCAACCACGGCCCAACCTCCCAATCATTCAAGTTCCTTCTGAAAACAGGGCACCAAATTGCTTTATCTCCTTCCCATGCCTCAGCTACCAAACATTCTTTATTTTGTGCAATCTCTTTAAGTGGTTGGTCTCCACACCAAGTATCAAACCAAAATTTAATCCTCGTACCATCTCTTTAAGTGGTTGGTTCTATTCTTGTTTTGAGTGGTTCTTGTATGCTGTACCTGCTCAGAGAGAGAGAGAGAGAGAGAGAGAGAGAGAGAGAGCATGACAGATAATTTCAAGTTCTCTAACCTGTAGACAACATAGTGCACTTGCTGGAACTTACAAGGGTCATGGTGGAAAAATCATCATGGTTACTCTGTTTTTATTGTTGTTTTTTTTTTTTAATTCTTTTAGAGTGGAGAATATAGCTTGCTACAGTCTACAAGGCCCCAGGTTGACGTATTTGCTTAGCTTCAATTCTGTTGAGGTGGAGGGACCCTTATTTAGTCACTTTCCAGTTGTGTAATAGTGTGGAAGGTCCATGTTGTTGGAGACACTTCATTAGAGAGGGCACAAATCATTGGCTTCTAGAATGAACATCTAATTTAGATTGGCTTCAACCCCCCCCCCCCCAAACCCTAACTTGATGGTTGTTAGTCTTGCCAAGGGAGGGATCCTGATAAGTTAGTTATATACTTATTTTTGGGTTCAATGTACCAGGGCAGCTTGATTGTAAATTCTTATTCTTTTGCCTTGTCCTTTAGGAGGCTGTTTAAGCCCACTTCCTTGCTTGAGGGTCATGTGTCCTTGTGATTCTTTTTTCCATACCCCTTTTTGATTTATAATAAATCATTTGTGTATACATAAATAATAAAACTGTCATGTTTTTTTTCTTTGATTGCTAAATTATAAATCACATGTTGTGTATATCATTTATTTTAATTCCAAAATGGTTGAATGGATGTCTACCAGCTTGATGGATCCAAAGTGGTTGATGTCTACTAGAGAAGCTCTTAACATTAGATATATCTCTAGTAGGTTTTTCTTAGTTAGCTTAAGATAACTATACATTAGGCATAGTTAATGTGGAGGTAAATTAAGCAAAGTATAAAAAATGAATAAAATATTGATCTTTTCAATCTCTGTAGTATGACATGAATTTCATTTTCACTTGATGTTAGGGCAGGCCTTCGATCTAATAATGTTTTTGTAACACTAGGCATGAGCCTCTGTAGCTGCACCTTGAGTTCTTTCCCATGGGCCTAGCTTTGAGGCAAGACTCAAGATGAAAGCTGCACATGTCTTTTATAAGTTGGAAGATGTTTCACTTTTTTTTATTAATAAGTTCTCCATATTCTATTTGTTATCAGATGCATCCTTTTCAGAATCTCTCTATGGATTACGAAGGAGGGCAGTAAAGATTGCGGTAAACAAGGACAATACTCAAATGGACTCTGGTGATAGACTCCGCCTCTCTGGATTAGAAAAGCACCAAAAAGTTCTCTCAGTTGCATTTCTGGTACCTTCTGCTTTTATCAACTTAATTTTTGGCCCTTATTGAAAGGGAATCTAAATTCATTTCATTTATTTGTGGTGTGACATACTCTTGAATCCTTGGACAAACCATATTTTTGTTCTTATAATCCTTGGAAGTTCATGCATTTTCCTTTCATTTCCATTTTCTTTTATGGATAATGCATTACAGATAGGTTAATGCTGTTGCAACTCTTGTCCGGCATCTTCTTAGTCATTTGTTCAATATTCCAGTTTAATTAACACAACAAGAAGGAAAGAAGAAAAGTGTGGGTAACAGTAGCTGACCCTTAAATTAAGCTGACTACTGCTACCAAAACTTGGGGTGCCTTGGCACGTGTATACATGTAAAACATATTGTCATAACTCTTATTAAAATGCTGACTGTTATTGATAAAGAAAAAAAAAAGGAAAGGAAAAAGTGTGGGTTGGTGGTTCTGGTTATTTGGAAGAGTTTGCTTCTGATTAATCAATTGGAAGATTAATTGTGCTAACTGCTAAGCCAATTGTTTAGTGGAGTCTAAATAACCCCAGAGTCTTCTGTGTCACAATTTACTTGGCCCAAGAGGAGATCCATGAGATACATTAGTTACATTTATATATGAAAAATCDAGATCTGGTGATATAACGCAGGGTCTTCCAAAAGTAGAACAAGTGTTAGAAGTGCGTTCAATTGATTCAATATCAATGAACCTAGAAAAGAGGGTTGAAGACTGGAAGAAGGATAAACCTGGTGAAGTGAGGAATAGTTTGCAAGAGTAAGGATCGAGGTGGATAGGGGGTAGGAAATGTAAGGCTCATGAACTTATGGCACAACTGCACAAGGTATTGGTAAGTAATTATGGAATGATAATAAATGTTTGGGATGCTGGTTTATCTCCTTGAGCCACTTTGGCTTCTCTGCTGAAATCTATTCATACTATCTTGTTGATCTTCCTATAGCCTATTCATACTGTTTGGGATGCTGGTGTGTCTCCATGGAAAGCTATTCAGCCTTAAATGAAATATGAATAATCAATTAGCAACCGAAAATTGAATTTTTCCTCCTTTTTTTTTTTTGGCATGTTTAGCACATCTTTCTTTTTCACATGCTCAAGCCTCAATTTTGAAAAGTACATATAGCCTCCTTTTTCAGTATAAAAATTTGTGCACAAATTAATTTGAATTTATTTATTGGTCAGATTGACTTGAATTTAATGGCCTAGAACTTGAACCAAAAGAAGTGCATTTCCTTTTGTCCCATTATTTTGCTGTTTCTTATGAATAATCAAGCAGGAAATGCAGATCAAAGTTTAAAATGTCGGTATTGGTGGAAATATTGATCATCCAAATATATGTAACATGTTGGAAATGTTGGGAATGTTATATAAAAATATTGTTAAAATTATAGATATGGTTGAAACATTGTGAAATATGTGGAAATATACGGTGATGTTTTATGAAATGATAAAAGAAGCACAGTTACACCCTTTTAGATTATTATCTTGTTCCAAATGATCAAACAAAGCCTTTTAAACTAAGGCTAATAGAGAAAATAATACACTACGAAGTTGTCCCATAAACTTATAGAAAGTGCAAACGATTGAGGGTGGGCCTTGGCACAATGGTCGGGTTGCTCCATTGTGACTTGGGTGACCAGGTTTCAAATCTTGGAAACAGCCTCTCTGTATGTGCAGGGGTATCATACATCTGTCCCTCCCCAAACCCCGCATTGGCGGGACCCTCATTCATTGGGCTGCCCTTATAGAAAGTGCAAACAATTCTAACAAATTGACCACATAATCCATTACAGAAATAAGAACTAAGATTTAACATCATGTCCAAAGAGAATTTCAAGCTAGCTCAAAGTGATCATGATGTCCATTAGGCAGGCAATAATACATACTAGTACTCCATAGAGTTGCAATATTATTTCCAACTCATTATGTTATAATACCATCTCGTATACTCCACATGGAGCCATTAATTTTTACTGGGGAATATATCAATTCCAGTAATATTTCATGTCAGTACCAATGGAAATGGAGATATGTTGTGGAAATTGTTTTCCAGGCTAGAGATATCAAAGGAGAGGAAGAGAGGAGGAAGTGAGAAGAGGAAGGGAGAAGAGGAAGAGAGAAGAGAGAAGAGAGAAGAAAAAATTTGTATTCAAACTTATGGCTGGCGGTGCCAGCTATTAGCTTTTATATTAGGGCGACCCAACTAATAATAAAAATAAGGGAAATTACAAGAGTTCCCCTATGACACTAAAGAACAAAAAAATAAATAAAAAACTAAGAGCTTCTGGCTATAACTGATTTCAACACTCCCCCTCAAGTTGGGACATAGATATCAATCATGCCCAACTTGTCACATAAATCATTGTGTCGCAGATGATGTAATCCCTTGGTAAAGATGTCTACAAGTTGATTTGTGGAACTGACATACGGAGTGCACACTTCCCCATTTATAATTTTTCCCTAATAAAATGCTTGTCAACCTCAATATGTTTAGTTCTATCATGAAGCACTGGGTTGGCAACAATGTTGATAGCAACTTTGTTATCACAATACAAGGATATGGGGCCATCAACAAGAAATACCAACTCATTCAACAAGTTCTTTATTCACATAACTTCAGCCACTCCATGGGACATTGTTCTATATTTAGCTTTAGCACTAGACCTCGCCACAACATTCAGTTTCTTGCTTCTCCATGTGACCAGGTTTCCTCCCTCACTCTTCAAGTGATCATTCTTCTAGAAAAGTAAACCAGCCCATGGGAATTTCTTTAGGTACTTGAGGATTCTATTGGCTGCCTCTAAGTATGTAGTCATAGGAGCATGCATGAATTGGCTAAGAACACCCACAGCATAAGCAATGTCTGGCCGTGTCATAGACAATATAACAGTCTGCCCACAAGTCTCTGGAATTGTTTCACATCCTTGATCATCTCACCTTGACAATCACCTAATCTATGGGTTGGATCAATGGGGGAGTCAACAGGCTTGACTCCAAGTTTTCTTGTATTCTGTAATAAATCTAGGATGTATTTTCTTTGAGAAATGAAGATTCCCTTTTTCAAACGGGACACTTCAATTCCAAGAAAATACTTCAAGGGACCTAGATCCTTCACCTCAAATTGAGTGTCTAGGAACTCCTTTAGTCTTTGAATTTCCACCTGGTCGCCTGTGATCACTATGTCATCAACATACACTATCAAGGCTGCAATTTTTCCCTCTCCTTTTTTCACAAATAATGTATGATCAGTCTGACACTATTTATAACCAATCTATTGTACAACTAGGTGAAACTTGCTAAACCAAGCTCTCGGTGATTGTTTTAGTCCGTACAAGGACTTCTTTAACCTACACACATTTTCTTGGTCTTGGGCATGGAAACTAGGAGGTTGCACCATGTACACTTCTTCTTCAAGATCACCGTTCAAGAAGGCATTTTTAATATTTAACTAGTGGAGATCCCAATCAAGGTTAGCAACAAGAGAAAAAAGAACTCTGATAGAATTCATCTTAGCAACCGGAGCAAATGTCTCTACATAGTCTACTCCATACACCTGAGTAAACCCTTTCGCCACTAGTCGATCTTTGTACCTTTCTATTGTACCATCAGCCCTGTGTTTTACTTTAAAAACCCACTTGCACCCTACCGGTTCCTTTCCCACAAGAAGGTCCACTAATTCCAATGTACCATTTTTATGTAAGGCATCCATCTCTTCTTTCATTGCATCTGTCCATTCAGGTATTAAAAGAGCTTCTACCACATTTTTGGGGATAGGGACATTGATTCTTAGGACTCGTTATTTGAGTGAGATTCCTTGTTACTGTTCAACTGGGTAAGTGAGAGATGTAGTCAGTGATGAAGACTTAGCTATCAGTATCGGATCAGAGAGGCTAGGGCCTTAAGTGCCAGATTGAATCCTTCTTTTAGATGAGGTCAATCAATGTAACAAGGGAATCATAACAATAGAGCATCAAAACATTAAACATTAGACGAAGTAAGCTGAATGGAGAGCAGAGGCTTTGTGGAGATTGCACGATGGAGGAAATCCTTGAGAATAGAAGCTAAAGATTTTCTCTTTGAGGAGTTGAAGATTAAGGAACACCCTAGCCTAAAGATTCGAGGAAGAAGGCTATGACCTTGGTTCAAGGACATGAGATGGTTGAATGGCTCATGGAGTTTGTGTCGAAGGCAGCAACTAAAGGTAAGAAACTAAGCAGGCAGGAAAGGTCCTTGGAGACAAGAAGAAGATACTTGATGGAATGTAAAAGGAACTCTAAAGGATCATACATTACTTTGTCTGAATTCTTTTCTAAAGGTAAGAAGCAAATGGTCTGCTTTCCTCAAGGAAAAAATAGTCAAGGATGGAAGGAGGTTGTCACAGTGTTGAAGACCTTTCTTACCTTCAGGAGAAAAGGGGAAGATAAAGCAGAAGGAGGGGTTCTCTGGAAGACTGCAGCTGAGGAGCAAAAGAAGAATCTGTTTGTTATGGCACACTGTGAGAACATCCCCACGATGACTGTTAATGTAAGGAAAGAACGTTGGGAGGACAATGCTGGTGTTAGAAGCCAATAGTCCGATCTTGGAATGGAGGAAAGTTGCTGATTTGTTAATACAAAAATTGAACCTAAGAACCCCCTTTGACAATTATAAGGCTCTTCTTGATCTTGTTGAAAATCCGATCGAAGTTGAAGCTCTGAGTTTTCAAGATGCTTTAGGTTCTTTTACTTTGTTTAAGTGGTCTACTTCAAACTCAATGCTTTTTTCAGTTGAAGATGGTGTGGTTATCCGAGTGATTGGGTTGCCTTTCCACCTTTGGAATCATGAGATAGCAGCCTCCATTGCAGTGTTATGTGGTGCCCATCTTGATGGAGAGTTTTGGGGAGACCTACGATCAGCAGCCTTGTTGTTGAGTGGAGTTAAGCCTGAAGATACCCAGAAAGATAACTATTAATGTTGATGGGTTTTTTTTTTTTCCAGTGTGGCTGGC